TGTTAAAGAATATTTTGTTTAAAACAGGTTTATCATGTCCATTAAATGACTAAAGAATACTATAGTGAAATATGTAAAATTATTTATGGTAGGAAATGCTTTCAAATACTATTCACCAAATACATTGTGCGAAAATGCTTTTTTATTAGACTGGTGGAAATCTATACAGGCTGTCTTTGACTTAAGATGGCATTATGCTTATAAAAATCCATCGTAATTGAAAAGATCTTGTACCAAAAACACATAGACTACCCTTAATCTACAAACATCCTGTCTTAGTCAGACCTACCTTAGATTTGCTCAGCACAACAGATGCCCGACTAGGAGCAGCAGCTCGTAGCACTGTCCAGCACACCAGAAAATGTTGCACTGCATATAGCCAGAAAAGATCAAATTTCACAATTCAAAGCACTATTTCTGCTGAACATGCATCAACCACCTTGTTACCATTGTGAACTTCAAAAATTGTAAATCAACACATCCTAAGTAAGGCCATCTGTATATAATTTATTTCATAAACAAACCATGCACAAAAATTAGCAACCTGAAAGGTGTGTACACTCTGAGTTTAGAAGCAGGATACTTTATTATGACTATAATAGATTAAGCTTTTTCCTTCATAAATTTAATAAATCAATTGTTGAACCAGAAACGTTCCTTTGTAAAAATCAATATGTGAAAGGAGGCTTCATTAATTAGCACAGCGTCCAGAATTCTTTAGTGATTTGCTGCATAAACAGATGTAGACACGTTCCTTGTTTTCTTAAGGGAGAAGTCATTTGCTGATTTTTTCCTTTAAATGCGAAGAAAACTTTTTATTCATGGTTCTTCTTGGGTGAATTGTAATCAATATTTGTGGTGTCCTCACCTCTGCTTATACTTGGAGACTTTTCAATGCTGAATTTCTCAAGTTGCTTTATAATATGACCACTGTATAAAAGGCAATCTTGTCATTACATTTCACATAACAACAGGAAATCAACCTTTTTAATATTTTGTAAATTAGAACCTGTAGAACCACAATGGTAAGAGCTCCCTTCAAAGTGTGGTACATAGAATATATCCATTTCTGCCCATGAAAATCACAGCTTGTGGTCCTGCCTGGAGGTAAAGGGAAAATACTGCATCACATGGAAAGATTAAGTCATATAACCTATCAGAAATTATCTTTAGTAGTTTCTTGTCTTCTTTTCCAACAAAAAAAAATCAATGCTAATGGCCCTCCCCGGTGGCGCAGCGGGTTAAAGCACAGCACTGAGAAGCTAAAGCCACTTCTGCATGAGTTCGATTCCTGCCTGCCCCGGAAGTGACCACATGGCATGGCAGACCTCTCTTGACCTGCCCGCTGCTCCCCTCAGCAGTGTACTTCGTTGATCTGCCTGTTCTGCTCCCCACTCTGTCTCTGATGAAGCCTCTCACTGCCCCTGAGCCTCTGGCCTGTACCCCAGTTCTGTATGCACAAATAAATAAATCTTTAAAAAAAATCAATGTTTATTTTCAGTTATATATCCATTAATATTTTAGAAATGAAGCAGTATGGAGTTTATCTTATTGAAAGAAATTGGGCAGGAGCTGGTGTTCCTGGCTGTCACAAAAAGGCAGATCTAAGAGATTCTGCAGGAGAACCCCTGGCAACTATGGGCAGCACTGAGCATAACAGAAGGAACCAGAGAACCCTAATAAGGTCCCCAAACATCATGGAAATAGAGAGGTTATATGCATTTTTTTATAAACAGGAAGGGGCCAGATTATCACGAGCATACAACCAAAATGTAACTCATATTATTTGTACAGTTATTACCCTATTTCACAGGTAAGAAAACAGATTGGCCAAAGTCACATAAACTAAGTACATCTTCATTGTGCAGACACCATCACCCAACAATATACAAAACGTAGCTCATCAGTATTTTGTATGTTTCTCCACTAGAAGGTGATGTTCAGGAGAATCAGGGTTCTTGTTCCCCCATTATTCTCCAACAGTTTGGATAAAACAAGGAAACATATTTTATTATTTATTTATTTATTATTTGTCTCAAGTTAGAATCTTTTTATTTTATATAGTATTTTTAGTCTGGGGCTATTTTTAATAGTATTACTATTAAGTAATAGTATTTACTTAAAGTAATGTTTTTTGTAATTAAATTCTGAATTTAATCATCTGTCTAATTGAATAACTTTGCAGTGAAAATATGAAAATATTTATTATTCTATTTACCAAAAATTTCCATTACTGTATGCAATTTAAAATTTGTTTACATTTTCATTCACAGCACCATTCAAAACTGTCTAGAAATTATAGAATACAGAAAATGTTGTTTTGATAAAAGGAATGTTTATTCCCTATGAAACCACATACAAACACATATCAGAAAATTTTAGTACCCCAACCTAAATAACTAATTATTATTTTTCTCAAATGAAATTATTGTCTTATTTTAGATGGCCTTCAGAAATGTTCACTTCACAGATGCAACAGGCTCAGCACTACCAAATTCAACATTGACCAGATGCAAAATAAATGTTCTTTCAACAGAAATGCAAACTCACTAAAAATTATGCTATGCCATTTATAATTTCCTCTTAGGCATCTTATTTTCTTTCTGGATACTTCTGAAAATAAAAGTACCTAGTTTCTTGAATTTTATTTCCATTTTAAACAAATATGAACATTTAAATAACTGGATTAGGTATGAAAATGAAAAACCTCTGTTGTAAATAAAATCGATTATTATTCATTCCAATTTTTCAAAATTTGAAGATTGGTTCAACTAATTTTTAAAGTTATGTAAAATTTATTTCAGCTTTCATCTTAACCTCTCTGATTCACTACAAAAAAAGTAGTTTAGACACAATAAATGTACTGTTATTAAGGACAAAAATATTTGTAACGAAATTTATCAAATATTGACCAAACACCAAATAGCTTTTAAATTGTAACAATCCTGCTATTTATTTTGAAAGTATATTTATTATATTTAAGTCCTATTCTCATTTAGTTTTTAAGTAGTTTTATATTTCTAATTATCATTTGTACTCCTTTCTTTGAAAAAACAAAACACACACACAGTTGTACCTGGAGGTACCAGGGGTTAAGTCTCAGTGCTATCAAGCTAAGTGAGTTTGACCACTGGCATCAGGGAGCTGACCCAAGTGGTGCAGCAGACCTCTTCTGTCTCACCTGCTGCTCCCCTCAAGCAGTGTATTTCAGTAGCTCTGCCTGTCTTATACCCCAATCTGTCTCTGGTGAATGAATCCTCTCACCATCCCCACACCTCTGGCCTACACCCTAGTTCTTGTATGCATAAATAAATAAAAATAAATCTTTAAAAAAATACAATTTTGGAGCTTTGTCCACAGAATTGCTGTTTTATATTTTTCCCTACATTCCAGAGGAGTTCATTCTCACACACAACATGAAATAGACTTAATGTGATCCTACAGGTGTGTAGACTATGTATGTTTAGTGTAGACTATGGATGTTTACAAAATAAAAACTTGAATTTGTGAAAAAGATTATAACGTAAGCCAGTAAGTTTGTGATATAATAATGTTTCAAAGTCAACCTTTGTTCTGTCTCTGAAAAATAGAAAATATTTTTAGTTAAAAAAAAAAATCACTTCTTTAGCACATTGACTTTTGCTCTAATGTATTTTAAAGGACCTGACAATTCTTACATGATCTAATGGTCTCATATGTTTAAACTGTGCCACTATCATTTTTCGGTTATATATCTAAATAGTACATATAAAATGGAAGGTATACCTATCATTTTATTGACATAAGAAATATAAATACCATATCTGAAAGCTCAAATACTATGCCAGAATACAGCTCATTTTATTTTGTGTTGAAAATCATTTCTCATGACTAATGTCAAATTTTCAAGAGATCATTTATAAACACATACACAATATGAAGCAAAGAGATCTTATTGATCAACTAGATAACTTAGACTTTTAAATAAACAGCAGACATGTGTATGGCCTCTCAGCACATATTCTTGATGTAGCGTCTTTAAAAGACCATAGGCATGTCCATAAACCGTTATGTTGTTTGTGGCAGCAAAGGAAATCTGTTCTTGAAGACACACTTGAGAACTCTTTAAGTTTTCTTGTCTGAAGCATAACAAACATGTTGCAGGAAGTCCAAAACAACTCTCCATTTTCTTGATGCATTAGAGTGATATCTGTTCCTGCAGGGACACTGCAGAAACTTTAAATGTTTAATTTAGCAATATGACCTAGTTAATAATATCAAAGAACTTAGCTGCTTAGATTTCCTGCTTAGGAATGGATGAATTTTTGGTACTGCAAGTAACCAAGCATTTTATGTGAAACAAATTAAGCAGTGCCTCTGCCTGTACTTACACAAATTACTACTGAAATAAAAGAAATCATGCATACCCACTTCAAAAACTTGCTTGTAAAACTATATTTAATATGTGTATAAAGTTTTAGCATAGTGCCAGGTAATCAATAACATGTGTTTAAGTTATTGAATTGAACTTATACAACAAAGACTTATTACTCTATGGAAATGTTCAGTGCAAAGTTTCAAATACCCTTCTTCAAATGCTATCTACATTATACCCTTATAAAATAGGTGCATGTATTTACTTTTGGAAGCGAGTACAAATAGAATCTATATTCACTATTTTATTCCATTCTTAAAGAGGCACTTCTTCATTTTCTTTGAGTATATTTTCATGATAATCTCTTCCTTTTAAATTATCAGTCAAAAATGTGTGCAAATAATACTGACAACATATAAGTTACTAATTTTAAAACCAGCTTTGGAAGCAGCTGCCCCTAAACAATGGAAGAAAGAAAAGATATAAGAAATAGAAGGTAGAACAGGCAGTATGAGAAATGCTAAATGGACCACTGACCTATTCCATATCAAATGTTATTTCTTTGATATTTACAAATTTAAAGTTACAAGAGAACTGAAAAAGCAAAGCATGAATTCACACTAGAGAGGCAAATGGTAAATATTTTAATGTATGTATTTGTGTGTGTCTGAGTGTGTGCACATGTGTATAAGTGGGGTTGCACCATCACAATAATTAGTTTGAAAGAATAAAGGAACAGTTTAGTAAGTTATATAACAAAAATATAGCATCATGATTAAAAAAAAAGAAAGAAAAGAAAATCACAAGAGAAAAAGAAGTCCCAAATGTTGCTACGTAGCCAATGCTAGCTAGAAAGAATTTATAATGATCAAATATTCCTTAACTAAGCAGCTACAAAATCATTAGCAGAAGATGAGTTTACTCACAGGTGGAACTAGAGCTAGCAATTTCAAAAGCCATCATTGCTGTAATTTGTTCATTTAGAAATATTTTCTACAATCCAGCCAACTTTTCATTGTTCATTTGAAGAATAGCAAAGATAGTTTGAGTGGTACTTGTACTTAGATAGATGTTATATATAAAATATGCCTTTCTAATTATTTTTATATATGAAACTGAACTTTGATGTGGGAAAGAAATGGACTCTGCTGTCTGACATCGGAAGATAGAATTTTGAGATCTGGCAATAATGAACCATATCAAGAAAACTACTGAGAACTCCTGACTTCCCTTTAACAATTGATCTATTTCTATATTTTCCAGAGCATATTTTGCCTATCACTTGCTTCTATATTATATTATGAAGACTACAGCTATCAAATGTACACCAGGTAGGCAAAAAAATAAAACCAAAAAATCAAGAATACCAATGGTTAAACAACTAGGATAAGAATTGCTACAGATTTTTATCCTTAATTCATCCAATCTCTAAATTTTATTGACAGTCATTGGAGGTTGGCTTCCTACGGGATCTTTAATTCACATTAATTATGTATTTTTACTGGCACTAGACAGCAGGGGAACATGCCAGATTGGTATAGTGGTCTTGCTTTTAAGATTTTTAGGTTCAGAATTATGACTGAAATTGTTGAAGTGTTAGCTAAATGTATGCAAAGACTGAAGCACACCTTTATTTCGGTTGGTTTCGGACATGCTTAACCTATTTATCTTTCAAATTTAATTGTAAAATTCTCAATCTCAAAATTTATCACTCTGAAAAGGTGATAAAAATCTTGTTTTTACACACTGGAATTTAAAATTTAAAGTAACACTTGAAAAGTTTGCTATAACTATAAAATATTTATTAAATAAAACCTCTAAATAAAAAAAGTTTCCAAATCTAGAATTAAATTATAATATGCCATCTCAGATGCCTCAGCTGTTTTCATTAAGTCTCCTGAAGTCAATATATTCTTTCATTATTTCTGAAAAGAAAATGTGTATATACAGGATCATTAGAATAGTTAACTTGAATTTGAGAAAAACTATTACTCTTGATCACCTGATACTACCTATGCTGTGCTGAGCCCTGTTTCTTTTTTGAAGGAAAAATACATTTCTCTAAAATAGTGTGGTCAAGAATATATTACAAATTTAAATAGAATTCCCTTAAACATTTTCACTGAAGTTCTGTTTCACTGTAGCTCATTTTAATTAACTTTAGTGGAAATGGTTTTACAAAGTATCTCAAGTGATAACCTAAGACCAATGAATATGTATATTTTATAAGCCTGTTATATCAAGGATTTAGTTCAATTCAATAAAAATATGTGTGAATATATATATATATATACACACACACACAGACACATATATATATGTATATATATGTGTGTGTATATATATATATATATATATATATATATATATATATATTTTAACCAGTACACAAGAATTGGAAATTAGCCCCTAATCTGTAAATGGCAATTTTTATGTTCAAATTTAGCTGTTAAATACGTGAATAATTAGTTCTTTCTCTTTGATCAAGAAATTTGTTTTGTTTTTGTTTTTAATGCTCTTCAAGTGCCTTTGATAGAGATATAATAGGGACTTGAATTTCCATTTGGAAGACAGCAGTTTAAAGAATCTGCTCTCTTTCCGAATTCCACTTCTTAAAGGAGGGACTACATCTCTACACAAAACGCTAGTGATCAAACACCATGAAAGAGTTCAAGTGTTCAGTTTGCTAATTCATCTGCCATCCTTTGTCTCAAAAATTCAAGGCCAGTGATAGTCTGGATAGTTGGTAGGACACATCTTCTGTGAAATGGAAATCACTAGACAGAAAATACACTTATCATGATAATTTCCTAGAGCCATCTGATTCCCTGTACCCATTAAAAGTACATTTGAACATGACAGAGTCTCAGAGGAAAACGAGGACACAATCACTATGAAAGCTGATATATGGCTTCATAGGAAACGGCTGTGTTTAATGAGCTTGGACTCTTCACTTGTCTCTTCTGTGTTTTCATATAGTTCATATCACTGGCGTAAACTTATGAGCCAATCTTTTTCAGTTTAAGTTACTACCAAAATTTACAAAGTGGACATGAAGATTACACTGTATTTACAAAGAACTTGGCACTTACAGAATAAATTATTGACTTTTTTGTTAATCCAGTGCAGGGCACCCATGGTCAGGCTAATGGGAAAGCCTGATGCCTTATTATATAGTATGCTACATTAACATGAATAGTAAATACCCAGCTGGTAATTCCTCCACAGTGTTGTCCCTGTTGCTGTACACAAGTACCTTCCATTTCTAATCCATGGGGAGAAGTTATCAGTCCAGAGAGAGCAAAGGTTGCATGTTTTCTTCCTCATTTTTATCCATGCGTTTTAGTACTGTAGGATCCACTACTGATTGGGATCTGGAAATGATAAAGCCAATGTCAGTGAGTTATTATCAAATAATCACATTTTCTATCTTTTCTCCACTAAGGCTGCACTCATGGGTGTGGACTATCTCCATCAAGGAATTTATGAACTGAGAATGCTGCACATTAGAGAAACATTTATGTGCTGTTTTGCAGCAGAGTGAGGAGACAAACCCCTCCGGGCTTTAAATAGAATAATGAACAGCAAAAGAGTCTTAATAGGCAATACCAAGCTTTAGTTTTCTTCACTACCAAACAAAGTCTTTTCTTTGAGATTGAGAATTTCTAATACAGGACCTGTGAATTCCAAATAATGGAACATCTCTAAATGGAAAATAATGTTATAGTGAAATTTTGTTACAAGAAATGATACCTGTCCCAAATGGCTCTCGGAAACAGAATCAATATGAATGTGAATTTTAACCACTGTTTTTATTTTTAATGATCACAGGAAGAAAGTCAACACTTGAATGTGAGTTTTGTTATATTTCCCACTAGAACATATGAATAAAATCAATCTTATTCTTTAAAGTTTTGTGAAATGATTTATAACTTTAAACAAGGAAAAAATCCATCTTCTTTAAGCAGCACCCTCATTCTGGTTATGATTAGAAAAGCAAATAATTTGAAACTGCTTACATATGCCTTTGATATCAGATGGGAATTATATCTCAATTCATCATTAGGAAGCAACATAAAACCGGGAAGAAGGAAAGTCAATGAAACATGCTACTGTTATAGCAGGAAGCTGCCATCTTAATAGCTATGGCATTAAAGAAGCAGCTGCCCTTTTAAAATTCTCCTCAGTAATGAATTTTTCCCCTGCTGCTGTATTCCAGCCAATTGGCTAATGCTGTGGAAATATGCCTCTTTGCAGACCTCATTAACTTTCAGAAAGAAAGACTATAAGCTAAAATACAAATGCACATGCTAATGAAAAAGAACAGCAACTAAACTAATTATCAAAGCAAAAATAATTACAGGATTAACTGATAGATTGACTTCTTTATTTAAGTAAATGTAAATTTATTTCTAAAGAGGAAATGACAAGGAGCATAAGAACAGGAAAATTTTAATTCCTAAGTCATTTTCATGATTTTTATCACAATAGGTATTAGACACCTACATCAGGAGGGAGACTAAGTTGTGTGTGTTTTTGTTAGAGAGAAAGAGGATGGAGAGGAAAAGGAGGAAGAGAAGGAGGAGAAGGGGAAGAAGGTGTGGGAAGAAAAGGAGAGGGGAGAGAGAAAAAGAAGAAAAATTTGCATTGCTTTAAATGTAATGATAATTACCTTAGGGAAAATACATGAAGAAAACACATTTAACGAAGTTGATAACTGCATAAATCACTTAGTAGTTAGAACTGTAGCACTGTTTTTAGGTAAGTCTCATCTAAGAAAATTAGTTTTTCAGAATGAATTCTTGCTAAGACAGATTCATTTAAAGTCTTGTACTAACGTGTTAACTTGATAACTGGTGCCCACTGGAATATAAATTCCTTAAACAGGGACTTTGTCACTTTCTCTCTTTGCTTTGAACACAATATGTATCACAGATTGCTGCACAGTAGGATCTCAATGTCTTAATTTCTTCCAATATTGAAAGAAGTTTGGTAGTAAACATTTAAAATGAAGATAATGTAGAAAGCAATTCCTCACAAAGAATGTATGAAAAACCACCCATAAATCTATTATATGAATGTTGAGGTTTATCTCTATAGTGTTTAGTAAGTACAAAGCAAAACTCTTCAGATACCACAAGGTACATACTATAAATGTATCACAATATTTTATTAAAATAACCATACAAAAAACTTTTAAAGTCTTATGTTCTTTAATTATAAAAATGATTAAGAGATATGGCAACTTTAATGAGATATGTTAAATTTCAGGGTACTATTCAATTTGAAATTAAGTTTCTAGCAGTTTTTATCATGCTCTATAGATACCATAATTATTGGATGATGAATGCTGACTCAATATGTAGAAAAATTATTTAATAAAGCAAAGCAAGCAGAACAATTTCTGATTAATATTTTTTTTCTTTTGATATTTAACTACTTCAAGAGTACTGTTATTCTGATTAAGATACTTCCCCCTTGCACAAAACAATTGGGTTATTTGTTCAGGATCATAGCTATTCATGAATCAGTCTGTTGCAGCTGCAATTGGTGTAATCTATCAATAACTCATGATACATCTCATCAGTCTCCACACATTCTCTACTGCCTTTATAATGCATAGGTTTCACTATTCATGAAAACAGATAATTTCATTTATAAATATCGATATTTTAAAATATTGATATTCAATTTATTGAGTATTAATTTGTTCATTCATAATGTATCCACAATATTAAGCTATACCATAGTGTTCTTCTAAGAGTCTAGATTCTCAACAAAAAATATATTTGAATTCTAGCTTTGCTATTTCTAAGTACCATGGCCATGGGAACTCTATTTAAACTTCTTAAGACTTTGTTCCTTATCTGTAAAATGGGAAAAATAACACCTACATCACACAGATGTAGTGAGGATCAAATACAATAATACATGCATAAATCCCAACACAGAATCTGACAGATAGTAAATGGTGACAGTAAGGAGATGACTTAAGGATACTGCTGTCTACGTTCCCATATTAGCATTGCTACTTTGTAGCTGTGTGACATGTGAAAGGGTCTTACCTTCTCTGTATCTGGGCTCCTCATCAGTAAGATGGAGATAGTACTACCTTACTAGTTGTTCAGAGAAGCAGAGGAGTCAATATATACAAAGCATTAGATAGGGTTTGGCATATAGCAACACCAGATGCTTAATATTATTCAATGAAATCAGAAACTTGCATTACCATAACAAATTTAATACTGTTATTCACTACAATAGTTATGTGTTGGACACTGCCCTGGATTTGGGGGAAGAAGGTGAAAAATACAACCTAGTGAACTTTGGATATGCATGATCCTGTAATCTGTCCACAAATTTACTCAGAGAGCCATCGTCCTGCATATTGAATTAAATTCAACTGAAACATTATCCACAGCTCTTTGATGAAGAAAAGAAAAATCCCCCTGTCAATCTATGATTGATATTAAAGTAAAAAAGGGAACAAAACAGAAGAGGAGGGAGGTGAAAGTGCAAGTGAGGGATAATTTTCTACTATCCCTGATGGGAAACTGCCATTTTCTGGCATATAGATTAGTCAAGTGAAACAGATTTCTTAATCTCATTCTTCAGAAGTTTTCAAATAGAACCACAAATGGTTCAGGTGATACAAAATTCACACCAAAGAGGAGATGTCTGAAATTATAATCAGTTCATGTCTGAAGCAAGAAACTTGGGGTTGTAAGGTGAATTTGCCACTAGTCAACTCTGCAGGAGACAAAATGGCCTAATTAATTGGAGAAGAAACACAGGATCCAAAAAGACTTCAAAAGGTGGATAGGCTGGGCCAAATCTAACAAGATGATGCTGATTAAAATAATGTGCTTTCAAAAAAAAGCTAACATAAGACATAGAGAATTATGAGAGTAAATGGATCTATAAGGAAAAAGAATTGCTAGTTTGAGGGAGTTAAATTAGTCCACAATGTACCTTGGCTGCCAAGTGGTAGTAATGGGGATGAGGGCAACAGCAATCAAAGGGAGCCAAGCCAGTAAGGCCTCTGTGGACAGTCAAATTTCTGGAAGTGAAATGCATGCAGTGAGAGCGTCAGAGGTCACTTGTGCACAAATGGACAGTCCTCGGACATTCCTTCACTCTCAACTAACATCCTCTGTGTGCCAGGCCCTACTCCAGGCAGAGGAGGTTCTGAGGAGAGCAGAGAAGACAAAGCCACTTAAGCCCCCTTAAGCTTATATGGGAGGAGAGATAGGAAGTTAAGTAAAATCAGTCATTTGACAGGATACAAAGTAAAGGAAGTGATTGATGAGAACTGACTGGAATGAGGAGGATATATGGCTGATTTAGATCTGTTGAGGGAGAAAAACCTCCAGTGACCTGTGACTGGGTTCAGGCACTGAAAGATAGATGCAGGGAAAGAGCATTTCAGGAAGCATGCATAAAGTGACGTGCATAAAGTTTCTTAGATAGATACAAGTTGGAGAGGCTGAAGGAGAATTAAGAGTGATGTTGTATCTAAAACGTATGTTGTATCTAAAACGTAAGGAGGAAAAACAGTAAATACATTTATAGGAAAGATATGCAAGCTCAGATTCTATAGCATTTTATCAGTCAGCAGAATTAAACAAATGTAAGGCATAAAAGTAAAACAATCTGATTAACCTTTTTTAAGAGATAATTTGTATTACCATGTAGATAATAAGCAGGGGTAGGAGAGTGGGATAAGGCTAGAGTCAAAGACAGCAATTAGGATGTTGGGGGGATGCAGGTGCTGGGATGAGGCAGGGTTGTGAGGTGCACTATAGACAAATGTGTTCAGAGAAAAGGACCACACTAACACACTAATGAGCATGGTGTATGAGTCACTGCAGGACAAGTGACAGCTTCTGTGATTGAAGCTCCTTTAGTGGCTAAAGAGAAGAGTAGGGAACCAGAGTGAAGGCAATCTGTTCTGCTGTTCACAGAAGGGTAGATAAAGTTTATGAAAACTACATGAAAGACTCTACCTCATAGACTGGTACCCCATTTCATAATACATAGATTATATGACTTTGGGAATCCAGCACTGATTAACAAGATTGTCATGAAGATTAAATAAAGTAATATTATGAAGTAGAGAGAAAGGTTTCACTCATGATAGCACATAGTGAATGACAGAAGATAACCATTATTGCAATTAGGATTATGATTTTTACTAAAAGGAGTGATTCTTGTTAGGTAAATAACAACATTTTTGGTTTAGAAAATTAAGAAATTCTTATACCCAATTTTGAAACACAACTTCTAGCACCTAAATGAACACTTTTGAGAATCCATCCATGAGCCACTTTTATTAGGAGAAACAAGAAGTCAAGGTAAGATATCCTGTTCTAAGACAAGGGGCAGCCAGGGTAAAGGAAGACATCACATACACCAAGATAAATAGCAACAACAACAACAGCAAAGAGTAGGCCAGACTCAAAGTATCACTAGAGAAGTAAGGTCAATGACAGAAGGACCAGAAAGCTTTATCAGAGAAGGATGAGAGAACCTTCGGGATAACATCTAAGATGCCCTGGGTCCTCCTTATGCTATTGATAGATGAGGAAACACTTGCAGGAGCTGTGGTTCATCTGTTTTCTCCAAATTAATGTGGGTCTAGGAAGTATCTTTTCATGTGCTACATAATTCAAACTCAGCCAATTATCCACTTGTGTGTTCTAGTAACTATCCCTAACCTCCATCACCACTAGACTAGGGCTAAAAGCATGCTTATCCACACTGAATCTGAAACACCTAAAAAAGTGTCTATTTCAGAGTATGTGTTCAATAGATAGGCATTGTTTAAAAGAAAGCAAGCATAAAAACTCCATGAGAGGCAAAGCAGAGAATGAGAGTCTAACTGTACAATGAAGTCTTAAAAAATCAAAGCTATTGGGAAATAAGAACATCTTGCCTCTGTACTGGCTAGACCTTAAAACAGAAAGTTGGCAGAGATACTCAAAAGTGAACTGAAGCTTTTAATATAGTATTTGAAGAATGTGGATGTGTTTGTATTTGTACATGCCATGAATCCGGGTCTTCCAAAGGAAACTGAAAACAAAATCCAAAAATGTCATTTAGATGAAGAGTTGTTCTTGTCACAGAGGATCTGGGCACTGTTCTCACCCTACCTTCTTGACCCCAGACATTCTACAAAACCTTCAGATACAGTTTACAAAACCTCTGGATCTGGTGGCTTCTAAGTGTTCTATTAGTTTATTTGTGAGGTTGAAATAACAACTTATTTGGAGTTTCTTATAATGATTCTCTTTTCTTATAATGATTCAAAATTCCTAGACACTGACATTGGGGGCAGTAAAGCTTAAAATCCCTCCAAATATCTATTTCAGAAAAATTTATATGAGCATGAAGCTAAGGCTTGGGCTTCCCCATCCTGACATCAATCCACTTCCCAGGTAGCTCCAACATACCTCTTCATGGACTTGGGGGACAGTTCCTTTTCTACTTCCTTCACAGGCATGCTGTAGGAGTCCACATTGTACTCACTGTCATCATCATATTCGTGGTCTAGCAGTGTTCTGGCCCATGTTCCCATGTCATAAGGGGGTAGCATTCCCCCAAATTCAGAGGGCAAGATTTCAGGATGAATTAGTTGGTGTAGACTGTTCAGATTATTTCCATGCAAAAATATCTATAGATGCAGAGAAAACACAGAGAAGAGTATAAATGCCATCCCTAGGAGAGGGAAGAGGATAGGAAGATCAAAAGCAAGAAATTTTCAGGTCTGTTACGACATTAAGTCTTTCATCCACTCTGTGAAACAGGTAAATATGTCTACCCTACCATTACAAATAAGAATACCATAGCACTAAGTTCCTACTTTATAATACAGAATGTGTGATGTCACTACAAGTAGATTAGCGTCATCATACTCACAGGTTGAATGAAGGGTCGTGACCTAAATAACATATGTGTTGCAATGTTGCTAGTATCTTCTTTCTGTACTAGAAATTTCCATGGTTGCATGATTACCATTCAATGTAAATGGAATAATGGGTTGAAAATATAAAGCTGTAGATGTATACCTCTATATATAATTATTGATGTGATTACCTGCATAGTTGTTTTAAATTGGAGAATTATTAATGGTATATATTTGATTTGTTTTTCCATAAATTACCATCTCTTTCTTCCTTCACTTCAATCTCAAAACTCAAGGTGAGGCTTTTCTGATGAAGCCTAGTTACCTTATATAAACTCATCTAATGTTTAAGAAGTACAGTTATGGCCCTCCCTGGTGGCACAGTGGGTTAAAGCACAGCATTAAGAAGCTAAAAGCCTCTTCTGCATGAGTTCAATTTTCCCACCTGCCCCAGAGTTGACCGCATGGCGTGGCAGACCTCTCCTGACCCGCCCACTGCTCCCCTCAGCAGTATACTTCATCAGTCTGCCTGTTCTGTTCCCCACTCTGTCTCTGGTAAAGCCTCTCACCGCCCCTGATCCTCTGGCCTGTACCCGAGTTATTTAAAAAAAAAAAAAAAGAATTACAGTTATAAGTGACCTACATTAATTTCAACATTAGGTGAAAGATGAACAGGCTAACACATTCATCTCTACTTTGTATATTTTCAGAAAAGACTGAAGTGAATATTGGAAAATAAAGTATACACAACATGAAGCAAAATGGGCAAAATGGGAATCACCAATGAACAAATAATTTCAATAAATTAAGGAAGAGTAAAAGCAGAGGAGACTTGGTCCCTGGCCCAAACAGTTATAATACAGGCTTCCTGGAATGTAAGAATCAGAGCCTACAGAGGCAGTGGATGTCATCTTCCCCCACATACACCAGGTATTTCAACTTTTCCACTTCTATCTGCAGAGTGCAACAGCCCAGGAAGGTAAGTGTGGACACACACACACACACACACACACACACACACACACACTCCAAGATTTTTCATGGAAATGTTTAAGCTCTAGCACCTGTAACCTTTATTTTACAAACAATTTTCATCTAATGAGTACTTTTTTTCATATATATATATATATATATATAACCTTTAGTTTTGAAAGAGTTGTAGTAATAAATCCTTAGAGAAGTAATTTTAACATACCGCTTCTCTATTCACTAATAGTTTGTTACCTTCTCCCTCAACATCACTCTCAGGTTTGGCTTTGCTTCCTACATCACTGAAAAAATAAGGTCACCTGCTGAGCTCCACCCACAGCATCTGTGCCCACCTGCTTTTCCACTGCCAGTACAATGGAAAGTTTAGTTTTAGATGGCCAGCCTCTCTTTCTGTGCACCAGAATTCCTCATCTCTTTCCCACTCAGTTATATTAGCCACACAAGTCTTTCTCACTTTTCTTATGTCAAATTTCCTCTCTGTGTGCTGGGTTCTTTCTCATCAGAGAACAATCATTTCACCTCTTTTCTTTCCTCATCTTCATACAGAAACATAAAACCTCGTGGTCACACTTCTACCTCCAATTAATATCGTATTTCTCTCCTTTTGTAAAACTCATCAAACATATTATTTATGCTCTATGTTCAAATACACTCATCCTATTTTTCCAGAATCCAATTCAAATAGGTTTTGCCTTCGGTCACAGCATGAAATTAGCTTTTAGCAAGACTCTTCTCACCACTGAACAGATTTCCAATTTATCATCTTTAGTTTTCTTGAATCCTCAACTATATTGGTGGGTCTTTTATATAACAATAATCTTGCCCAACTTGGAAAACCATGTCCTTTTCCCTACATAAGGCTTCTTTATAGCACCACTCACCTTTTAACATAGTGTACAATTTACTTAGTTATACTTTTCACAAGCTGATTCCACAACTGATTTAAATAAAATACATTGTCTTCAAACACAAGAAAGATTTTTTAGTACTCTTAAATATGATCATGCCTCTGGATTGGGCAATTAGAAAGCATCACAATTGCCCAACTATTAAATCCCCCCCCAAAAAAAATTTTTTTTGGCCCTCCTTGGTGGCGCAGTGGGTTAAAGCACAGCACTGAGAATCTAAAAGCCACTTCCGCATGAGTTCGATTCCCGCCAGCCCCAGAGGTGACTACATGGTGTGGCAGACCTCTCCTGACCCACCTGCTGCTCCCCTCAGCAGTGTACTTCATTGATCTGCCTGTTCTGTTCCCCACTCTGTCTCTGATGAAGCCTCTCATCGCCCCTGAGCCTCTGGCCTGTACCCCAGTTCTGTATGCACAAATAAATAAATCTTATTTTTTTTTCTTTAAACCAGTTTTGTGCAATAACAATATTAATTGGAAAATATTGATTATATTGTTCTCCCTATCTATTTTATTTTCCTATATTTCATTAAGAAATCTAGTCCTTGTGGGTTTCTATGCCTCAGAATAGTTTAAGTTCTAAGATTAACTTGAACAGTACTTTCATTTTTATTTTATTTCCCTAAACTATGCCATGAAGAATTTATGGTAGATGGCATGGAGTAGAAAGGGGGAATGGGTAGAATACTGTGAGACTCAGCAAGAAGTAGAAGGTAAATGGACAAAGAAGTAGAAATTTGCTCCAGCCAGCAGGAAACCCTCTTCCTGTCAGCTCTGGGAGAGTACATGAGCACAGCTAAGAACGGGCTCCCTGGGTAGTTGCCTATCTACAGGGGTCTAGCTTCAATAAAGATACTCTATTTTCCTTGATAACTGGGGAGCAGAAAGAGACATTAATTCTAGGAACTAATACTGGCTTGGAAAATGAGGATGCTAAAAGGAGCCATGAAGGAGTAGAAGGAAGACAGCAGGTACTGGGGAAATTATAAGAATGGCTTCCCTAAGCAACTAAGGGACATTCCAGTTGTCACTGAAGACTCAAAGTGAGATTCGAGTCACCAGGTATTTATTTGCAATGGAGATTCATAGCTACCCCTTAACTTTTTTTTTTTTTTAACTAGTGTTCAAAACTGATTTACAGCATTGACGATGATATAATTCACCAACAACCTGACAGACAAGATGTAGAGGGAAGGGATGGAAAAGGGGCAGCATGGAGCTTCCATGTCTGTTCCAGAGGAGGCACGTTCTCCAAACTCCACATGTTCACCAGGCCAGAAGCTCTCCTAACCATCTCTTTTTGGGTTTTATGCAGGTGCTATTCTTTAACCATAATTGATTAAATAATTAGCAGCAGAGACTCAATCTCCAAGCCTCTCCCCTCTCTGTAGATGGGCTGGGATTAGGAGTTTCAACCCTCCCATGATATCATCACTTGCACTGCAACCAGCCCCATCCTCCCATGATTTCCAAAGTTCCCCTGATGGACATAATATGATGTTGTTCTAACCACTTAACAGCTTTCAAGATTTTACAGGAATAAAAACCAAATGGGTATTTCTATTTATAAATCACAGTAACACTGTCCTTTAGGACACTTTTCTGGAAGCTTGCAGATAAATTAATTTGATTTCTGGTAGTAGAAAAAACTCCTAATATAAAAATTATACTTTTTAACTTAATTCTTCCACTTAAACTACTGCAACATTTTCACCAAATTCATATACAGAAAACCCTCTCTTGACCAATGATTGTTACAAACACACACTTAAAAATGACTTACACAAGGCTTCTATGACACTGAAATACTTGAAGTGCCTTATCATTTGTTGAGAAACATTGACAGCCATCTTCTACATAGATATAGAAGTAAGTATATTTTCATGTGAAACTGATCACTTGAAAGTTGATCACAGCAAAATGGTAAAAATAGCTCTAAACATGGAGTTAGAAGATTTGGATTTATATATTAGCTCTACAATGTTACAGCTGCATAAATGAGTAAGCAAGTTACTTTTTTATCCTATGACTTAATTTTCTCAGTTTTGAAATACTAAGTCTATTTTTCAAGAACACTCAGAGGATAAAATGAAATTATGTGCATTAAATTTATTTAATATATATTGTTGATAATAATTATAATTATGTTCATCATTGGCATGTGCTTGCACTGTGATAAATACTTCATATAAATTATCTTATTCTCAGGAAAAAAATCTTATATTGTAGCATTTTGAATATCCTCAGTGGTACATAAAACTGAATCTTACAAAATAATTTGCAATATAAAAAATATTAAATTAAATCAATTCTTTCTGAAATGTAAGATTGCCAATTACTACAAAATTATATCAGATATCATAAAATGCTAGATTAAATTATAACTTTTGTCTAGTCAAGGTCTTTTCAAATCACCAGTTGAAATTAAGCTTACCAAAACAATTTTTTGAAAAAAAAATGAGACTTTAATATTCAATATTTAATATTGAATGTACTATAATGTTCTCTCCATCTGTAAGCAGATAGAGAACTGGCCTTTAAATACTTCTTTCACAAATAGAGTGTTCAGTGTTAAACCCAAGGTCTTTGAAGATTTTAAATGTCTTTCATTTTATGTACAGTATATAGACACATTTTAGTATTTTCAATATTATACACATAGTATATATCAAAAGTTAGTGAGTGGAGAAAAACAAAGGATATAAAACAGACAAAATGATACTTACCCTTTTCCTAGTCTTCTCCTTTAGGAAAGGCCGAATCACAGTATATAAGGCATGGATATACCATGGCTGATTGACAAAATGAATCCCTCCAAATCGTGCTGGGAAGCTATCCTGAAGTGTCAAGGAGGGAAAGAGTCAAAACACACGTTAATAAGCTGAGAATGCTTAGGGGAGCTCATATGGTATCAAATTTGTTATTCTAAACTTAAATGAGATTATCCTTATTGTTAAGGAGATGGCAGAATTTTACTGCATTAAATTGTAACTTTCATACAGAAATTGAAGCAAAATGTAATAAAGCAAATCCTCCTCAAGCATATGTTGTTAGCAACAATTTCAGCATTTTCAGGAACAGCATATTTTAAGTCAAACTCATAGCAGTCATTATAAGGCAAGAAACAGAAGACATCAGAGTTGTCAAGTAATGGATCTATGTTAAGTAAAGGTTTCATTTAAATTACTTATATTTATATTAAAGGATATGTAAATTAAAGTGTTTCATTAATGTTCACTATATTTATGTACAAAGTGAGCACAGTCAGATATCACAACTCATTTTATTCACTTTACCTTATTCTGTCAATATTATTATAGGTATTTTTCTTTTCTTATTTCAACATTAAAAAAAGAAATGTGCATTAGCAAAATGAAATACTAGTGCTCACCCTTCTGGAAAAAAATGAGACTATTATAAAGCCAGGCTTCTCTACACACCTGTTAAACAAGATTTAAAACCTTACACAAGTTTTATATGAAGTGATAGGAGTGTATTTTTCCTTTTGGCAACTGAATAGCTTCATCCTAACCCCGCTCCATCATCTGCAAGACATCCTTAAGTTCAAAGAATTTTCACATGTGACAGTACATGTTTGCCTGACATGGATTGCACATAAACTTGATTCTTGCCACTAGTTCAAAATCCCACGTGAAAATACAAAACTCTTCTTTCAAAAAATTAGAAGTATCTCTTCAGTGGTATCATACTGTCAATCTGCTGAATTCTACTAAAAGCATGAAGTGGAATAGAAAAGACAAAGAACTAAAGTCACTTGAGTATATATTTTAAGTAATCGTGAACTAGAGTCTCTGGTCAAAAACAAATATGGCACAGCCTATTAAGTCATTTTGGTTTTTTGAAGGCAATCATGATCATTACTAATTAATTAGTGGTTTTGTAACAGGGTGGTCTCCAGGAAAAGGGAAGTTCCACCCAGAGGAGGGTGGAGCTGGGCAGGAAGGAGAAGATCTGGAGAGGAGACTGGAATGGGAAGGCGCTGGCTGGGGGCCAGAAGGAGACCTGAGGGAGGCACAAGGAGCAGAGAGACAGGTGGAAAAGCTGTACTTGCCTTGTTGGTCCTGGACTGGTTGAAACAGTTGGGGAGGTTAACAATGGCAGCTTTTATCTTAATTTGGATTTTGCTTTCTACTTCCCAGACTTGTTTGGATGTTTCTAGCCCTTTTCTATGGGTCTCTGCCAGAGGGTGCTATAGACTTATGGAAGACATTCAGGCCTTTCTTTGGACCAGTCCTGTTTGACTGGACTTTATCCATGAGGGGATGGGTAACTTCAGGTACTAGATTTGGAAACTATATTCTGTCTTTTCTGTATTAAACACTAATTGTATTTAAGCTCCTTTCTATTAATGGTCTACATGTTTCGACTTGATATAGTGAATGGCAGAACCTATTTAGAGCAGGCAGGTTTGGGGGGCTTTGGGGTATCCCTATCCCTGCCCTGTAACTATTTTGTATACTTGTTTTCAGAAGAGAGCTTTTTTCTTTTCTTGGAGATAAGACATTATAAAACAAATGAGTACTTTAAAAAGTAGAATAATTAAAGGTACAATATGTCTCCTTAGTGCTTGTCTTACTTTTTTTTTTTTTAAGATTTATTTATTTTTTATTCATACAGAACTGGGGTACAGGCCAGAGATGTGGAGGGTGAGAGGATTCACCAGAGACAGAGTGGAGAGCAGAACAGGCAGATCAACAAAGTACACTGCTGAGGGGAGCAGCGGGCAGGTCAGGAGAGGTCTGCCACACCATGTGGATCTCCTCCGGGGCAGGCGGGAATCGAACTCATGCGGAAGTGGCTTCAGCTTCTTAGTGCTGTGCTTTAACCTGCTGTGCCACCAGGGAGGGCCATTGTCTTACTTCTTTTATAAATATATATTTGCATTTATAAGTAATTTCAAATATAAAAATAAATCAGGTAAAAATGCAGATGCTGTATGTTTTTTTAAGTTATGATATTTTATTCATAAAGAAACATATATCATACATACAATAAAGAGTAAGTATCCTCCATTCAGCTTAAGAAATATACCAGTAACCTTGAAATTTGGTGTATTTCAGGGGCCCTCCCTGGTGGTACTATGGGTTAAAGCACAGCACTATGAAGCTATCCACAACATCTGTGGCAAGAGTTCAATCCCAGGCCAGGGGAGTGACCTACATGGTGTGGCAGACCTCCCCTGACGTACCCACTGCTCCCCTCAGCAATGTATTTCAGTCTGTCTGTTCTGCTCCACGCTGTCTCTGGTGAATCCTCTCACCTCCTGCACCTCTGGACTATACTCCAGTTCTTGTATGCATAAATAAATAAATCTTAAAAAAAAAAAAAAGAATTTCATTGTATTTCAACTCTTTCACCTGCCTTTGTATTTTAAATTTTTTTTTTTTTTTTTTTAAAGATTTATTTATTTATTCATACAGAACTGGGGTACAGGCCAGAGGCTCAGGGGCGGTGAGAGGCTTCACCAGAGACAGAGTGGGGAGCAGAACAGGCAGATCAACAAAGTACACTGCTGAGGGGAGCAGCGGGCAGGTCAGGAGAGGTCTGCCACACCATGTGGATCTCCTCGGGGGCAGGCGGGAATCGAACTCATGCGGAGGTGGCTTCAGATTCTCAGTGCTGTGCTTTAACCCGCTGCGCCACCAGGGAGGGCCTGTATTTTAAATTTTTATGATTCCTTGTTTATATTTTAGAAAAATATTAAGTATATGAATATTTTATTTCTTATAATTGTCATTTCTATTTATTTATAATTATTCTTATTTTTCTATGTGTGTGTATATATACATATATATATTTCATACTAACATACTGTTTAGCTTTTTAAGTACTTGAAAAATATCATCATAGTAGTTGGATACTTTTCTTGTCAAATAACACTATTTTTGAGATTAGTATTTTCGAGGTTTATACATATTATATGAGCTATATATCATTGTCTCTGCTATATAGTATGCACTTTATTATATAGCACATAATAATTTAATTTTTCTCATGTTTACTATATAGTACACCACAATTAAAATTTTCTTATGTTCATGTACATTGTTTTTTTACAATTTTGCTCCTTTTGCTATCATAAGCATTGCTTGCCTGCAGGCTTGTATATTTTCAAGTGTATCTGTAGGAAATTTATCAAAAAGTATTATCTTTAACTTATAGGGTGTCTATACTTCAAATTTACAAAATTGGCAACAGTGGTAGAACCAATTTTTCCTTTCTTCCTCCAGTGATGAAGAAAACTGTTCCACATACTACCAATCTCTATTTTTTGCTCATCCAGTGGTTATAAGATCTAAAGTGACTTTTATTTGCTAGTTGTTTAATCTTTGTTCAGTTTGCTTAATTTCACCATTAATAACATTGTTTTATAATACAACCATTTATCTATAGGTATTATGTTTTAAGTCCTTGAGGGCTTGAATTTCTGTTTATTGATTTTTTTCATTGACTTGTTTCTGATAATCTCAATATTTGACTGATATTAATCACTGTGACTCCCGGAGGACCTGGCTTAAGAATGTCCTTCTCCAGGTAAGATCCGTGTCACTTCGTATTAGGTGCTGTCAAACTACTTTAGCTTTAATACAATTTCCCATGCTTTTCAGACTCTGCAGTGTATATTCAAATCTCAGATACATAGGAAACAGCGATGTCCCAGACTACCCAAGAAAACTATTACCATTATCATTATTAATATCCACATTAACACGATCACCGTTTTTCCACCTAGAAATGTCAGTTTTTCAAAAGCTTTCCTGCCCCACAGGGTTTTCTTAGCTCAGCCTTTACTAAGGGCTTGGCCCCTGGAGGAACACAGGGTCTCAAGCACAACGCCCCACTTGCCCTCAGCGTGGGCAAGGCCAAGGTCTCCTTTCCCACCTACTCTAAAGATCTAGGTTCTGCAGTCAACACTCATTTCCAGAAGAACCAAGGCTTTCTTTATTCACTCTCCTGTTTTGTTTTTTTTTCAGTAGTCAGTGTGCTTGACGCTGGGGGCATGTCTTATATTCTCTAGAGTTCAACAAAACATTTGAAAATAATTCTGTTATGATTTATATAACAGCTTAATGTTTCATGGAGGATCTTTAAGAATTTTTAAGCAACCACACAAACTAAAGCAGAACAACTCAATATGCTTTTAAAATATGCTCTTAGATGAGCATTTGCTCTCTTGAACAAAACTGAATGAATACTGGCTCTCAGACCGTTAAGCCAAAAATCTTGGCTCTGAGATTTTAAACTCTGAAAATCACATGGAACCCATGCTTCTGTACTGAAGGGCAAATGTGTCCACACACACATAACTTACCCACGATGTCGGTATTTTCAAGACACACCTTTAGTTATAGAATGACTTGATGAGTACCAAGTCATATTGAGACATGGCGAAAGAGAATCAAAAGCTCTGACTTTGCGATAAAATAGACCTAGGTTAAAATTCTTATTTGTTTACATGTCTTTTGCAGCAACTTGGATGAAGCTGGAAAAGATCATGCTTAGTGAGATAAGCCAG